GCAGCCCAGCCCAGAGATCTGCTGTGCAGGAGATGACCGAAGAGATGAAGCAGATGGCCGCCCTGGGCCTCCCGGTGAGCTTCAAAGCCAGCGAGCAGCTAGGCGCGCTCGTGGAGTCGCAAAAGAGTCGTGTGGTGTTTTTTGTAGGGCGAAGGGTGGCCTTTTCAGCTAGGTCCCCCAGCTAGGTGCCCTGTCTCACCCTTTTTTGGGTTGGGAGGGTTCCCCTACCAAAAAAGACTACAGAAAAAAGGGTACCCTTATTCAAACCTCTCTACTGGAGGACCTAGAAAAGGAAAACAACGAAACTCAAATCTTCGAGTTGGTGCCACTTTTGACATGTTAATGAGGCCCTAAGTGAGACTTTGTGGACCCATTTCACTTCACAAGTTTTCCAAGCGTGGATGCCCTGCAAGTAGTGGTTTGTAAACCACGAGGAGTTTGTCCAAGGCTTTTTGCGATCAAGTTGCTTTATCCCAGAACCGTGGCATAAGAGGCCAGCATAGGCCTGCTGCCCAGTTCCCAGCCCGCATTTCACACGAGGTTCCAGTGGTTTAGAGCTTGGCCCTTGAAAACTACGACTTCTTTTGCCCCCCACACACCAACAGCGAGCTCCAAGGGCTGTTGAACTTAAAAGCGGGTTACAGAGAAACCCGACGATTTGCGGAATGTGGCAGCCAGCGGCATCTTTTTTTCTGGGAAGGGGTTCGCTTGAAAATTTACCCCGAAACAAGTGCCCGGTTTTCCTCATGGCCGCGCGTCTGGGTCTACTGTCATTTAAGCCCTAGGAGATTCTCATTGTGCAGGTGGCGATTCGGGCGAGGCTCGAATCCGCGGGGCTGTGGGGCGACTTGGGCCCAGCCAGAAAGCAACCGCGTACTGCGCAGCGAATGAACAAAGCCAATAAGGCGGGACTTGTCCCCTTTTAAAAGCGACGCTTTGTTGGGTTCCAGGATTATTGGAAGGAGATTATATACCGGCCTCACGAAGGGTTGCCCTACACACGATGAAAGTTCCTTGGACCTCCGCGATAAATTTTGATACATTTAGCGAGAATTATGATAAGTCATACAGATGTTCTTGACTTTTGTGGAATACCAAACTCGAGGCGAAGATCGCGTTGAACTGCAGACCGATCGAAGATCCAGCTTGAGTCTTTGTGACCAGATGCATGCTCAGATAAAATCCAGCAGACTGTCCCATGCTGGTTTATCTAGACAACGTTCTGACTTGCGGAAGTAGCGCCCGTCCACACCTGTTTCTGCTGTGTGCTCGCTTGCATCGTTTTTTGACATGAGTGGCAACGAAAAGGGCGCTGGTAGGGAAATGCAAAATGGAGCTTCATTGGGACTCGATGGCTCCTCATACCTGAAATCTCTTCGGAACGTGTTAGCATGTGGAGCTTTACAAAATACGGACCAGAATCAAGCACACAATGATTGGCTGGGCCCAACAGCTGAGGTAGATGTAGGCGTATGTTGATGTTGCACCCGGCATCCAGGATGATGACGAGGAGGAGGAGGATGACGACGAGTGAGAGACTGCTTAGATGATCCAGAGTGACCAGACTAAAGCAGCCAGTGTGTGTGTGTGTGTCTGTGTGTGTCTGTGTGTGTCTGTGTGTGTCTGTGTGTGTGTGCTTGCGTGGGGTTGCGTGCTTGTGTGTGTGTGTGCTGTGTTGCTTTTTCGTTTGTTTGCTTAATCGATTGTTTGTTGGTTTGTTTGCGTGTTTGTGTGTTTGTGTTTGTTTGTCGTTACCTGTTTGTTTGTTGGTTTGGTGTGGTTTAGGTTTGGTTTGGTTACTTGCTTTGCTTTGCCTTGCCTTGCTTTGCTTGCTTGCTTGCTTGGTGGGTTGGTGGGTTGGTGGGTTGGTGGGTTGGTGGATTGATGGGTTGGTGGGTTGGTGGGTCGGTGGGTCGGTGGGTCGGTGGGTCGGTGGGTCGGTGGGTCGGTGGGTCGGTGGGTCGGTGGGTCGGTGGGTCAGTGGGTTGGTTGGGTTGGGTTGGGTTGGGTTGGGTTGGGTTGGGTTGGGTTGGGTTGGGTTGGGTTGGGTTGGGTTGGGTTGGTTGGTTGGTTGGGTTGGTTGGTTGGTTGGTTGGTTGGTTGGTTGATTGGTTGGTTGTTTGGTAGCTGTTGTGGCGTGTGTGGTGTGTTGTGTGTCTTGGTTTGATAGTCTGTCTTATGTCTTTCGTTCTTTCTTTCTTTCTTTCTTGCTTTCTTTATTTCTTTCTTTGTGCGCTGGTTTGTTTGCTTGCTTGCTTGATTGCTTCTTTGTGTGGTTTTGTGTTTCTTTGTTGCTGTTTTGGGAAACCGATAAACACAAGTATGTTGTGTTGCTTGTGTTTGGTTGTTTGCTAGCTTGCTGGTTGGTTGCTTGGTTGGTTGCTTGGTTGCTTGATTGTTTGTTTGATTGTCTTGTTTGCTTGCTTGTCTTTTTGTGTTGTTTGTTTGGCTGGCTGGTTATTTCCTTGTGTATTTGCTTGGTTGTGTTCCGTAGTTTCTTTCTTTGTTTGAATAATTGCAGGTTAATTGATTGGTTGGTTGGTTGGTTGGTTGATTGATTGATTGACAAATTATGTTGTATCTATGTGTTGGGATGGTGTTGTGTGTTGTGTGTTGTGTTGTGTTGTGTTGTGTTGTGTTGTGTTGTGTTGTGTTTGTTTGCTTGCTTGCTTGCTTGCTTGCTTGCTTGCTTGCTTGTTTGTTGATTTGTTTGCTTGATAGCTTGCCTGCTTGCCTGCTTGCTTGCTTGATTGTTGGCTTTTGTTTGTGTGGTTTGTGCGCGTGTGTTTGTTGGTCGGTTGGCTGGTTGTTTGATTATTTGTTTGATTGATTGTTTGGTTTGTTTGCTTGATTGCTTGCCTGCTTGGTTGCTTGTTTGCTTGATTGTAGGCTTTTGTTTGTGTGGTTTGTGTCTGTGTGTGTGTTTGTGTTTGTTGCTCGGCTGGCTGGTTGTTTGGTTCTATATTTGATTGATTGTTTGGTGTGTTTGCTTGATTGCTTGCCGGCTTGGTTGCTTGTTTGCTTCATTGTAGGCTTTTGTTCTGTGGTTTGTGTGTGTTTGTTTGTTGGTCGGCTGGGTGGCTGGTTATTTGGTTATTTGGCTGTTTGATTGTTTGATTGTTTGGTTTGGTTTGGTTTGGTTTGGTTTGGTTTGGTTTGGTTTGGTTTGGTTTGGTTTGGTTTTTTTGTTCGCTTGTTTTGCCAATTCACTTCAGTCGCCACGTGAGCTACCGCAAAGTGGCACCTGCACAACCTTGACTTTGATCAAGTCGCCTTTCGTCCACACATTCATTGGACGTTGACAGGGGACTCTTGAAAAGGGGGTGCTTGTTCAGATCATTGGGATCTCGCAAACTTGGAGTTGCCAGCCCATGAACATTTAGCTTGGAAGTTGAAATGCTTAACATGTCTGCTACTGCAAATTTATCTTCCATTTCCTTAAGACTCTTTTGTATTTTTCCCTTGCTGGTTTTAAAAGGAATGTATCACTACTGGACATATGTTTTTTTTCAGGGTCTTAACCAAATGGAAGTTATTGGACGCTTGTTAGCTTGGGGAGGACTTTGTGGGGGCGTATCCCCCTCCCAATCTAGGTTGGGCGCGAAATAGCAGCCATAACTTTTTAAGTGTCCCAAGTGGCTGTGATGGGATCCCATTTTGGGGTAGATGCACCTCCATTTTGGTCAATTTGAGTGGGGATTGGGATGTAGTGGGGATTGGGATGTTCACTAAAGGTACGGGGTTTTGACCCACACCCAACTGGACACCCGAAGGGGATGTGTTACTTCCAAGAACCCCCCGATTTAGCCCCCAGGTTAACTTTTTTATTTCATGACCCTTTGGACAAAAGTGGGAGAGCAACTTTGTGTGGGGCGCCTGTGTGACTTCACCATGGATGGTGAGAGAAGCTCGCAGAGATGCCCGAATAGTTACTCCCCGCCCAAAAAGGGGAATGTCCCTAATATGTGTTGTGGATTCCACGTATCTGGGGAGTATGGCATGGGCTGACAACCAGCTCCAGTTCTACGTGGCTGTGTCTCAAAAATCCAGTACCAAAATGGAACCCTGGTAAGTGAAAACATGGACCAAAACCTGCGACCCCTCCTGTTTAATTTTGAGCCACACCCATTTTCGTCAAGGTTTGAATTTTGGAGAAGCATGTCAATCTACTTCGGAAATGTGATCTGACTTGATGATTTGTGAATGACGTGTTCCGCCCGTGTCCACTTCTTACCTCAAAGGTAATTGCCACGATTGGGTATGTGTCGAGATGAGGGGACACCCAAGGTTTTCCTGTTGGGCTTCCTTTCGGTTTCATAGTGTTCGCAGTATTTTTCCTTTATATAATTTCCAACCTGAGAAGGGTACCCTCACGAAAACGCATATCCGAATGGGTCACTTTGTGCTTTGTATGTTTCTTCCCAAAGTCACGGAGTGAGTTCCCACCCAGGAAGCTGGACAGACTGCTCAGCCGATTGGCTCGGCGTGGGACAACCCCTTCCCTTTCGCCCTCCGTGACATTTTTTCGGCAAAGCGTAGGTGCCCAACTTTGAAAATACATGGCACTGGTTTCAGCTTTCTATTAATGTACAGCCATTTCTTCCAAAAGGACACCCATGTTCCAAAGCCAAACCCTTTGGTGTCCACTTTGAGCCATCTTAAAACATCCAAAACAGCGCGCCAGAAGGCTTAAGGGGAACGAAGACAGCCTTTTGGACATCTTACCCGCAGACGGTTGCAAGACTCTAACAAGCAAAACCACCAAGGCACGCTCGAAAAGCTTCAATAGTTGATGTTTCCATGGCCATTGCGCAACGGCCCCCTCTGCAAGTGACTTAGCCCCCGACGTTCATGAAGCTCGAAGCATTCATCACGCGGAATTCCCAATGATCATAGCACCATTTCCACAAAGACAAAGCGGGGCAAAATTCAACTACCAGGGGAACGCAGGTTTTTGTCTTTGTGTCCATTTACCAGGGCAAGTAATTTTCCCTTTGTTCAATGCGTCCTCCCCCTCCCCCAAATAAAGAAAGAAAGGAAAGAGCGCGCAATGGCCTGGCACGCGAGACTGGGGCTTTGCATCCAGGCGCAGTGGCCAAAGACTTGGGACCATGGGATGACTTGGGGTTCCTCCAACCCCATCCGGTTCTTTAGCTTTTTAGTTTCTTTTAGTGTTTAGTGGTAGTTTCCGAATTTAATCCACTAAAAGTTACTCACTTTTGGCCGGGTCTAGGGGGGGGGGGTTATAGGGGTGTCAGTCCTGCTTTGGACTTGTTGCCACGGGTTTTGAGCCTGAGTCTTTGGGAAGCCTTTCTGTTGTATCACAGTGGATTGCAGCATTTCAACCACAGCCCTTTGGACTTGTTGCCATGGGTTTTGAGCCTGCGGGTTGGTGCTTGCTTTTTTGTGTAAGGTCCCAAAGGTGAACTGAAAGGAAGATACTCGCAGTCTTCTCTGGATGCACAAGGTGATGCAAGTTGTCCTTGGCATCAGACTTGTTGCTTTCGTTGCCTTTCTGGAATCTGTCACTTGCGTATGTGTCACTCGTTGGCGCCGGGGACCGAAACATCTTCGGTTGGATGGTCGTCGGGGGCGCCGGGCTTTCTCAGGCTTGGTTCCCCGTTTGCCCATCCATCGGAAACCGGACGCCGGAAGGTGTTATTTTTTTGGGTGCTTGGCGATCCGGGAAAGAAGGATCCCAGGTGATGGGTTTTGGATAGAACGTTGGTCTTGGGTTTTCTCGTGTGTCGGATTTTCCTCTTTGCCCGAATCGCCCGACTTCGTGCGTGCTGTGGGGGTCATTGGAGCAACCTTTGAAAGGGCCATTCTCAAGGCTCCCCGGGAGTGGCTCTGAAACAAGATGGGCGTGGCTGGTCTTTTTCTGAAGCCATCCTTTCTGGGGTTGGTTCAAAGGGAAACCAAAATGGTTTCATTTTGAAAATGAAACCCACCATGGGTTTTTGGGGCCCCTATATTGGAAAACGAAGGAAGAAATTTGGTATTGGGCTGAGAAGATCCTTTTCCTGCACCAGCTTTCCCGAGAAATTGCGTGGGGACAACTCTGGCGCTGGGGTGTTTCTGAGGACCCGTTAGGCTCCTGGATGCAGTTTGGGAAGTGGACCATGCACATTCACAATGCAAACGTTCAATACAGCAGCTGTCGAGGAGACAGTCAAAAAGAAAGGGTTTTGGCCGCTTTGGGGTCCAGTTGCCAAGTTGTGCCGACTTTTGTGGGCGTCTCACAAGCGCTTTGTCAGTGTTTCTCTCTTTGGTATCCGCCCTTTGGTAGACAGCGTGGAGGTTTGGTTTACAGAGAAATTGACAAATGATCGGATTCGGTTGTCGTCTGTTGTCGTCTGATGGTTTCAGGAGAAACGATTGTCATTGTCGCAGGCTACTTTGCCCTGTGGGCAGTTCAGGCTACTTCTAAGCCTGTGTTGCTTGTTGCTTAGCACCGGTTGAGCTTGCCAATGCTAGCTACTGGAGGTTGGCGGGTTGCTTGCTTGCTTGCTTGCGTGCTTGCTTGCTTGCTTGCTTGCTTGCTCGCTTGTTTGCTTGCTTGCTTGCGTGCTTGCCTTCTCGCTTGCTTGGAATTCGCGCAAAGGACGGAGCGTCTAACGAAGCAAGACAGCGCAGATGCGGGGTGATGTACCCACTCTCTCCTCTCGAGGAGCAATCAAGTGTGTCTGTGTGTGGGTGTGTCTCTGCGTGTGTTTCTGTGTGTTGCTGTTTGTTTCTATTTGTCCCCTGCGTGTCTGTGTGTGTGTGTTTCTGTGTGTCTCTGTGTCTCTGTTTGTGTCTGTGTTTGCGTGTGTCAGCCAATAGCCAACACCTTGTCCCATCCAAAAAGGAAACAGATAGGAGGGTGTTTCAACAAAATTGGGTAAACAACTTGCAACAAGGGGATGGACAACCCTACCCTTTTTCCGGTTCCACTGGGGAGACCCAAAAAAAAAACGTGCCCTGTCTTGTCAGGCCTTAGCCAGCGAGCAGGCGCGATGCCCATAGACCAGTGCGGCTGGAGGGTTTGGTACCAACTCCCAGTCTCTAGAAAACGACTTGGAGGTGGCGAATCTGTGGATCCACCAACCTGTACAATATTACAAAGAGTACTAAAAGAGTACTAAAAAAGCACCAACCGGGGGAAGAACAGGTGATAGTGCACAAAAAGAGCATCCAAACAGTTTTCTGGACAGACACCTAGTGGGTTGTGTCTTTTCGTTTCTTTTGTGCTGGGTTTTCAACTACCAAAAAAAGAGCGCTGAATCTTGCCTTCACACCGGGCGTCTGAGATTTACCCTGAAGACGTCACCGAAAAGGGCGTTACCAGAACAAGCTGTATGTGGGTGTAAATGAGTTGGCCTCGGGTATCAGAACATGGAGATTTGTATTCAGCCATTTTTTGGTGCCACATCAATAAAACGCCCAAGGTTCCAAGGCAATTGTCCTTGTTGGGGTGACTGGACTGAGTTACGTGTTGTTTTTTTTCATGGCTAGTCTTGGTGTCTTCAAATGGCAGAGGGTACCCCAAATAGCCATGATCCGAAGTGGAATCCAAGCGGGGAGCTTCATAGCTTCGCCTAGGTCCCCCAGTAGTGCCCTTTTACCCCTTTTTTGGTTGGGAGGGTTTTCCCACTAAAATAGACTACAGAAGAAAAAAAAAGGTACCCTTATTCTAACCTCTCTACTATAGGACCTAGTCATAGTTGCAGTCAGAACCTTCCACAGCTCTCACCCGTTGTGCCTTGTCGCTGGTTCTTGGTCTTAGGGTCTTGGAAACAGGACGTCCTTTTGCCGGATCCGTGCTGGTTGACTCGTGTTGAGTTTTTTTTTATTATTATTATTATTATTATTATTATTATTATTATTATTATGATTATTATGATTATTATTATTATTTTTGTGTTTAACCTCCAAACGGAATGTGCTACCACCTTTAATGAGGTGACCATTTCAAGGACTTTGAGTGGTTTTGACGCTTAGGGACCACAACTCGAGTTGTGGTGCAGATGTGTGGATTATAACTTTCGCGAGAGACGCGCACGGAGTCCAAGTTCCATGTGGTCGGCTGCCCTAAACTTCAACCAGCTGTTCAATGCTCCATGTTTAACTTCCCCTAAAAGCCACAAGGATATGGCTGGTTGTTTTTAGAAGATATGGTTATACACCAAAAGGACATGGGTGGTTGTTAGTTTTTCCTCCGGGAGATATGCTCAATTTTCCATGGTTCAACGATGCCATTTTGTTATAGCCATATGCGAGCAGTGGCTTGTGGCATGGTAAAGACTTGAGTTGTTCACCGGTTGTTCAATCTGGGGATTGCTAGGCCCATTGACCCCAAAAACTGTCCAAAAGTCGGGGCCTTTCATTTTTAACACGCCTCATGCATCCGGACATTAGGGACTCTAAACATTTCCCACGCAAACCAGGGGGACGTGAAAACTACCAATGTCAACAGAGGACGTTCCAAGAAAGACCAGGAGAAGTGATGCATTTTAGGTGGCTCCTTTGACTAGTATGGTCCTCGGGAGGTAACGCACATGTCTGCCCTTGTGCCAGGGTCGTTGCAGCAACCCTGTTTGGAGAAGCCACATTTTGAGAAGCCAATCTTTGGAGAAACCACATTTTGAGAGTCAATCTTTTTTGGGAACCAAATTTTGAGCAACCACATTTTGAGAAAGGGTAAAACAAGCAAAAGCTTTTCTGCTTGGAGTCCGCAAGTGAACCCGAGCTTGGGCCCACTCGTCGCCCTACACATCTCGCCAGGCTCTTTTCGAGGACGCGTCCATGATGCTTTTGCAGAAGGGCGCCCGGGCCTTTGAGTTTTGGAGAGCGGCGGCAAACATTGGGCACAGGGCCCGTAACTTGGCTAGCTCCCCCAGCTAGGTGCCCTTTCTCACCCTTTTTTGGGAGGGTTCCCCTTAAATAGACTACAGAAAAAAGAGTACCCTTATTCTAACCTCTCTACTGGAGGACCTAGTTGGCTGTGTTGATTGCTTGATTCGTTGGATGTTGAGTTTGTTTTTTTAGAGATGGTTACAATTTGCCCGCCAGGCAAGTTGGTCCATTGATTCAATGTGGGTTTGCCCCGCTCTGGAAGACACTAGAAGAAGCTGCACAATGTTTGTAGAAGACTTAGAAGACGGCAGCGAATTGCGGACAAACGCGATTTGTGACTAAACAGCAGCAAAACTGAACAATCGATCCCAACCATTGAAGCAGGCAGGCAGGCAGGCAGGCAGGCAAGCAAGCAAGCAACAGGAAAGTTTTTTCCACAGGCAATAGCAGGGAAAGTTGGCCAGTGGCTTGTCTCTAAGTACTTGGTTTCTTTCGTGGTTCTTTTCAAACGGCCCAAAAGGTAGCAAGGCAACAGCAGACACCTATTTGTGTCAAAGGGTTATCTTCCCTGATTTGGGAGGCATTCTCAGGGCTACATAGACCTTGAAACGTCAATGTCTCAGTTGCCCAAAGCCGAGGTTTTGCCCTTTTGGTTTTCCTGACTTGGTCCTTTGTAGTCATGTGTCCAAAAGGTTAACCATTTCGTTTATGGGTCCTTTTGGAAACTGAGATGTGCTTGGGCGCTGCTCAGTTCTTTTGAAGTGGGGCAGTTTGCAAGGGACCAAAGGCAGGTGTTCCTGTCGGAGGCAAACGCTGTTCCGAGCACACCATCCAGAAGCCAGGGTACATTGCTTCACATTCCTCATACCTGCAACACTCCTTAAATGGTGTTAATGACCTCATGGCTGTTGGGATCCTCCTTCCCCTCGCGGGATCTGATTTTAAGCCAGCTGACTCGGCATCGTCCAGAAGGCAATGCACATCTCAGGCGTGTGACGCCTTTGCGACACGTTGTAGGTTTTACACCGTAAGTGCACGAATGGGGCGGAGAGCTTGGACCATCGTCTGCTTGTATCAACTGGGTGGCTCCCAGCCATCCCCTTAGCTTTTTAGTTCCTTTTAGTGTTTAGTGGTAGTTTCCATTTAACCTACTAAAAGTTATTCACTTTCAGCGGGAGATGTGAAGGCAGCCCAGGTGTGCTTGTGTGATCAAGTAAGTATGGGGGTTGTCACAGACAGCGTGCCATTCTCTCGAGCCCGGGTCAATGTTTGCGGTGGATTGTGCGCGGTTCCCCCAAAAGTGAGCCGGATGCAGGGAAAAATGGGAGACATTCCTCTCGACATGAATCAACCAGCTGTTGACCCCTGCCTTTCCTATCCAAAAATTACATTGTTCGGAGTTTGCCTCGCTCTGGTGCCTTTGGGTGTGGCTTGCTTGAAGGGGTCCACGAAGAACGAGGGGTTTCGTGTTTGCAACTTAATATGCCGTGCAGGTCTTTCCGAACATGGGGGCCCCTCTACAAAATAGATCAATCTGGGGAAGTTCCTTTCCTTTCCCTTCAATCACTATCGACACTTGAACATGTCCAATTCGCAGTGAAATTCCTACCCTGAAGAAGCGGTTTTTGCCTGGGTTCTACAACCAGCGTACCACTCACTTCCATTCACTTCCTACATATAGTTGCACGTCATAAGCATGGTTCACAAAGGAATCTTTATAATTTCAAGGTGCCCTGTGTGTTGTTGCGGAAGCGATTATTCAAGTTCCAAGTAATGACCCCAGTTTTTTGGGCGACCATATCTACCTTTCATTTGTGCGGTCCGAGCCCTTCGTTTGGAACACACCGGATGCAAGCGAGGCCGTTGCCGTTCGCGTGGCTGGGGGCCTTTGCAAATTTCGCTGGTTGTTGCGCGAAGTGTCTTTGGCTGGTTGGTTGGTCTTCCGAGGAAACCAAAACTTGGCGGCGAAGCCAGCCATCCGGTTCCTTTGCTTTTTGGAGCCTTTTAGTGTTTAGTGGTGGTGTCCATTTAGCCACGAAAAGTTCTCAACTTTTGGCGGGGGATCTGAGGGCAGCCTAGAAAAGGAAACCCAAGTTCTTTTTAGACAAATCGGTCAGCTTTAAGAGGAAACCAAAAGGAAACCAAGCGTTTGGGCCCCCCAAGTTGAGACACGCGCAAGTTCCATTTGATCTGTCCCGGTGGTCCGGCTCCCCGAAAACAAGGGATGTGGGCTCCGCCAAGGAGGTTCCGCATATTTAGCAGTAGTTGCAAAACGTATTTGCTCATCTTGACCGAATTTGAGACTCGGGGTCTCTTCTCAGCGTGTTGAGCTTTTGCAGCAGAACATGACGAGAGGTGCTGGTTTTGCAACACTGGGGATGCGAGACTCTGCAATTGTTGCTTCAGAAGATGAAACGTAGGGACCTCTCTGTGTTTTGCGCATTGGCCCGCTGCTTTTGCCCGGGCTGGACATTGGGGACAGCCCCAAATATTAAGCCCCTTAAAGTGCTTTACTGCTAGCTTCCTTTCTTTTCGGTCTGCTGGCTTGCTTGCTTTGTGCTTGGCTGCTTGCCTCTGTCTTGTTTACATGTTCAACTAGATTGAGTCATGCGGTTGGTTGCCAGGACCGGACATGAGGGGCGGAATAAACATATTATGACATTCTGCTCCCCTGTGACCATTCGCCAATGGTTCTTTTGACGTACCCCATAAGCCCCCTGCCCCCTCTTTTTTGCAAAATGGAATGTTTCCGTGGGGCAGCTGCAGCACTGCATGGGTTCAGGTTCCAAAGTTCGCAAGTTCCGGGAGCGCGGCACTTTGCAGGCCAATTCGCTTAGTTCCTTTGCCGCCATCGCGCAAATGCATTTGCGCCGAGACGACTATCTATATGCCTCCTGCAAGGGTGGCTTGAGGCATCACGTTTCGGTACACCAATCTACTGGGTATGGCTCAAAATAAAAGAGCTACGGTTACGCAGGTGTTAGTCTTTGGTCAAAAAAACACCAAGGTGTTATTCCGGTACCACTTTTTCTTTGGTGCATTGCGCTTGGATCTTAGGACTCTAACTTTTTGCCAACTGGGTTTTCCGTATGGAACCCACTAAAAGTTCGCAACTTTTCCCAGGGGAGCAGAGTTACTTCCCCCCCGAGTTTTTCAGCCACGGTGCCACTTCTTTGAGCCACAGCCACTAGGTCCCCCAGCGATTGGTGCCCTTTCTCACCCCTTTTTGGGGGGAGGGTTCCCCTAAAATAGACGACAGAAAAAGGAAAGGGTACCCTTCTAACCTCTCTACTGGACCTAGTTGCTGCCTTCATGGCCTTGTTCTCACATCCACTGGAGGGCTGGCTGGAGCAGTCCCTGCTGGCCATATCTGCCACTTGGCCACGGCTCAGGGGGCCGCGGAGGAGGATGCCGGCACCGCCGCCATCCGGGCCCTGCACGGCAGCCCGCCGCTTCCGGGCTCGCGCGAGGCGCGGGTTTTCGCGAGAGACGGAAGCCTCGGAAGCCGAGGGAAGCCGAGGCGGGGGTGGCGTTGTTCGGGGAGGTTCCTCCCCTGGCTCCCGAAGGCCACCCGGTTCCTTAGCTGGGCCTTTCAGTTGTGGGGCTGGGTCTAGGGGTGCGGAGCCTGAAGCGAATGGCGAGGCATCCCCGAGGCTGAGGGGAGCAGCACAAATTGGCCGTAAACATCACCACCAAGAACTTGTTTTTCCCCACCAGAAAGCAGTTATTGGGGGCGTCCTGGAAGTTGCGTGTCTTAGCTCAATTTGACCATCGCTTGAATCCGGCGAGGTTCTTCACAATAGAATACCCCTCTTGACAAGAGTCGATCGGCAGGCTGAGCTTGGGGCGTCCTGATGTTCTTCCATGGCACACTGCAATCCGAAGCACTTGCTGTTGGCTTTTAGCCTACTCTTCTTGGTGGCTCCCAGCCATCCCCTTAGCTTTTTAGAACCTTTTAGTTTTGAGTGGTAGTTTCCGAACTTCACCCACTGAAATTTAGTCACTTTTTGGCGGGGGATCTGCGGGCAGCCCAGTGTTGGCTGTTAGCCTCTTGTAGACTAACACTTTTTTGCCGCCGGCCAAAAGACAGGTTCCCGGTGTTCAATAGAAATCAGTTTGCCAAGTGATCGACCAGTCTCTGGCATTGATCTGCGGACGCAAGCGGTGAAAGTGAAGAGCTTGGTGATGGGCGATCGAATATGCTCCTAGGGCTTAACTTAGTTCTCAGGCTTGACAAAGAGGGGCTGGTGGTTTGACAGGGGCTTCACTTAGTTGATTCTCGGAATGTCTAAAGAGATGGGGCTGGAATAACAACATGGTGTTTTTTTGTCGTGGGTCATCAGTATCTTGTCAAATGAACCAGGAATCATAAAGCACTGATTAGAAGACCGCCTGCTGCCTGGATTCTTTCTCATGCTCATTGTGACAAGCGATTAATGCTCTTAGGCTGACTCCTTGTCCGGATGCTGCTCATACCTGCCCGCCCGCCCCCCCCCCCCCCCGCCCACCCTTGCAAGGGTTACTGAGCGCTCAGTTTCACCCGATGCAAGTGCCACCCAACAATCTAGGAGTTGATTCCCCCTTCTTTTCAACCATCGTTCTTTCCCAAAACCGGATCCGTTTCCCTTGGGTTTCCGGAGGTTTTCTAGAAAGATCCGGATCCCTGGGGTCAGAATGGAAGTGGAAGGTACCCCTAGAAACCAGCTGCCCTTGTCTGGGCCCGGTTCCTTCGCGCATTCGCCGGGTTCGGGAGACATTTTTGACTCAGGAGGGGGCCACCGGCGTGGGCATCGTGGAAGAGCAGCACGCCCACTACCTGGTGGCAGCGGCTGCTTAGATGAAACGGTGTTTGTTTGTTTGTTTTTGTATTTTTGTTTTGGGGGGGGGGGTTTTGGGGGTGGGCCCAAAAAATGTGTGGTTGTTCTTGAGGTGTTCCTTCAAAACCGCACCACAAAGAGTACCAACTCAAGAAGCACATCCATGTTTCTCCTTTCAGTAAAGCTGAGGTAGTGAAAGCCAGGACTGAAGTCCCATGGTGCCCAAGTTAGGAAACTCATTCGGTGTGTTCCCCTTTTAACCCGGGATGCGTTGGGCCCAGCCTGCTGTACATTCCTAGTTGTCCCCAGGTTGGCTTGGTTTTAGAGCCCCCTTTTCAACATGTCAGGCTCGTTCTGGTCTGTTCGAGTAGAACGGATTCGAGTAGAAGCTTGGCGAATTCACCGGTGCACCGCCAAAAGTGGAGGATCTCGCTAAAATAGAACATCCCCCCCATGACCCAACCAGAGGTTGGTTTGTTATTAATCCTGGGCCAACATTGGGTAGGTTCCGGTGCATCAAAACGCAGCAGTCTTCACCTGCTGGACCCATCGCAAAGACCTCAAAATCGGGAGGCCCCACGAGGCATCCCGCGGCTATGCATCCAGCGCGCGAGGCTCGCGCGCATGAGCATAGGGCATGCCCATCAGAGCTCACGGGCCGTAAGTTTTCTTTTGGGGTTTCCAGTTGAAAAGCCCCTTCTCACCTTCAATCCCCGCAAAAGCCGAGCTTCAACCAAGTGCGCCGAGGAAAAGACCGGTGAAATCTCGGGTTGCCCGTGATCCAAGCTGCTTTTTGGTTCAAGTCGGAACCTCGAGAAACGAACAGCTCGGTTTGACCAGCCGGGTCCTGCAGTAGTGCCCTTTTACCTTTTTGGGGGTAGGATTCCTGGAGGACCTAGCCAACATTTGGGTCTTTGAAACCACTCGATTTCCGGCAGGCGTGCCGTGTCAGAATGTACACCCTGGGCTTCCATTTGCACAAGGTGACCATTTGGACAAGTTTGACTGGGACCCCCTGGCAGCGGACATGTGAGTGGACTGTGGGTTGTCTGTTTCGAGGACATGGCCGAGCCACAAGTGCGCGAGACCTTCCGGGCATGGCAAGCCAAGCGTGGGCCTAGAGCGCGTCGATTCGAGAGATGGTTGAGGGGACTTTTTCTGCAGATGCACGAACATTTTTTTTAAACAAAGGACGCAAGGGGATTCTCACATGGAGGTGTGTGCTCCAATAGAGGACCGCTCCAAACTTGGCGATCCCCCTGTGTTGCTTCCCTTCAACACAACGTCAAAGTTATGACCCTTCAAAAAGGCACGCAGGCACACCTTCAAAAGGTACGCAGGCACACCCACAATTTGAGAGTCTCTGCCCCTTTGGCGCTTCCTGGTCGGTCCCCCGATGTTTGAAACTCAACGGAAAAGCACCCTGACAGTGTTGGCCCTCCGCTTGTTTGGTTGTTCTAAAGTGGCCTCCTCGTACAAAGCAAAGCCGAAATGGGGAAATTGAATCGCACCTAAGGGTTCATTGGGGATCAATATCTATCAAGATTTCGAATCTGTCGCGCCCCAGATACATCCGCGAGGTCCATGTGGGACCACTTTGGAAACTGGTTTCAACCACTTGAGTTCAATATATTTCATGGTTGATTCATTTTAATTCCCTTGCCAGGGGTTCATACCAGATTGGACTTGCCGATTCGCTGGAAAGTTGGTTTGTGAGCCTGAATCCCCTGACTTATGCCGGACGTCCCACGGACCCTGACTTGGAACTGAAGATCTGACCAACTTTCAACTCGGTCGGATCCGAACACACGTGGGTGTATTCTGAGAGAGAACCAGTCTTTCAACAGAACGGGTGGCATTGGGTAACTTGTTTGTTGTAGCATTTTGCTTCTGAATTCCCACAGAAACACTTGTTTGGGCATTGCAACAAGGGGAACACTTGCAATGTCAACAACTGAAGGATGTCCAGCCCAGTTGACCAAAGCGAATCGACCTTTTGACCTTTCGGGTTTCCTGACTTGGTCCAGTAGTGAGCCCAAAAGGCAAGCGAGTTGAATGGGTCCCTTGGGCAAGCGAGTTGAAGCTCGTGAATCTCTGGCATTGCTCGCGAAGGCTTCAGCAGCTCAGCCGGTCTCCGTGGGCAAAGGCATTGAAGGCGTGGCGTGCCGAAGGGGTCACTCGGAAAGCGGTGGAAGACCTTGGCCGTTTCTTGCACCTTTTCGGAAGTGTCTTTTTTTGGGCATACACTCCCTCAAGCTAACATGGAAGCTCCCAGAAGGCCTCTGTAAATGGCCAGAAGGTCTCTGTAAATGGAACCAAGTCTTCCAAACAGGTCCTGGGAGCTTCCATGTTAGTCTGGGGGAGGGTACCCCTTGTTACGGGTTTTGAAGGGGTGGGTGATTGCATTCCTGGACTTTAGTGCACTTCGAGCCGGTGAATTCGAACCGATGGCTTCGAATGAGTTGCTTCTCTTGGCCACTCCGGAAGTGACTCCCTTCCCGAGTTGCACGTTCGTCACTTTTTGGGCGGAAGACCTGTTGGTCGCAGCGAAGAGTTTCTTGGCGGTTCCCAGTTGTGCCCTCAGGCTCTTAGACTTTGAGTGTTTAGTGGGGGTGTCCATTTAACCCACTAAAAGTTAGTCACTTTTAGCGGAGGGTCTGAAAACGGGCAGCCCAGTTTGATGTCCCTTCCTTTTCCCTTTCAACCAGCACAATGTTGTTTTCAGGTTTGGCGGCATATCCGAAAGTCTCATCCAAAACACTCTTTGAGGTGCCCCATGCGGCCCCAGCCATTCAAGACCATACAGTCGGGTAAAGAATTATCATGTGGTATCCCCAACAGCTTAAGGTTGACGCCCACATATTCTGGATACTGCTCCATGAGAGCAAATAGGACAGAACCACATTTCTTCAGGTTCAAGTCCTGGAAAACTTGGACCGTTTTGAGCAAATCACCTGTTATATCATCTACCTGAAGCACGAGAGCCGTCCTTTCACCAAAAGAACAAAGGCTGGTTGCCTCTCCTCACTTCCTGAGTTCATGGACTTTAGTCACTTTTCGGGTCTGGACCATTTTAGCGGCATACAAAAGGTTTGGTTCCCTTTGCTGGGATCTCGTTCGGACCTGAGACAGCGGGTTCCCGGCCGGCTGGCTGGGCCTGGGCTCCCTGGGATCGATCCCTTGCGCCGAGGCCAAGGGTCTGCGAGTGGGCCGCAGCGCGCTGCAAGGAGCCTCCGAGGCGGGCGGTTGGCGCAATCGGCGCTTGGAATCTCTGAAATCATTTTCTCTTCAGCCAGTTTCAGGCCAATGGACGGCCCAAGTTGGTTTGCCAAGTAGGGCAATCAATCCTCTCCAGGGGAGGAAGCATCAAAGTGGGTGTGGTGTTCCTTTCTTGGTGGCTCCCAGCCATCCGGTTCCTTAGCTTTTTAGATCCTTTTAGCTGATTTAGTGGTAATTTCCGAATTTAACCCACTAAAAGTTAAACTTTTAGCGGGGGATCTGAGGGCAGCCCAGGAATTCATTTTCCATGTCTTCCATTTTCCGAAAATATTGTTTTTGTTGCTTTCCCTTTTTGGTTTGAAGGGGAAGCTACCACTACTGGAACTATGTTTCTTCCAGGGGACTTACGACATATTGTGTTGAAGCACCGCGCAACCCCTGTTCAAATTGATTATTTATGCCTTATGGCAAAAAGATCTGTCCTTCCATTTGCTGAACTGAATATGTTGTATGTTCCCCTGTTGTTGTTGTTGTTGTTGTTTTTTCTCCAACGAATCTGTCACTACTGGACATGTCGTTGTTTTTTTGTTTTTTCCAGGGGACTTAAGCAAATGGAAGACTTTAAGTTCAAGCAACCCTAATCAATCAATCAGCCTTACGGATGTTCCTCAAAATGGACGCTGAACTGAATATGGTTTTATTTTCCCCAGTTGTTTTTCTCCCCAGCGAATTGATCCCTACTGGTAATATGCGTTTTCTTTCTTCCAGGGGCCAATAAACCCTGTTCTAATTAGTCATTTAGGCCTTTCTAGGGGGAAATCTCAAAGGGGGGCCAAACGGATGGTGGGTTGCCTCTGGTTTCCCTACATAGTGACATGGCGGGGTTCGGTCCTCTTCGAGAACCCGAAATCCCTTTCGCACCACCGTTCAGAAACCCTGGTTTCTGATGATTCCCCAACGTAAATACCAACAAACGCTATGGTTTTAACCATAGTTTCAAAAGCCATTTCCCCTGTCAACACACGTTATGGTTTCATTCTCAGGTTTCAATTCATGGTGCGAACGGATTTCGTTTTGTATAGCTTCATAGCTTTAATACCTAGACCTCATGCCCTTGAATACAAGATTTCATAAGTGGTGTAAGATTTGGTAGTCTGTGGCTCCCAGCCATCTGGTCCCTTTGCTTTTTAGCCTTTTAGTGTTTAGTGGCAGTTTCCGAATTTAACCCACTAAAAGTTAGTCACTTTTAGCGGGGGATCTGAGGGCAGCCATCCACCGTACGACCCGAACGGTCAAACGACCCTCGGAACAGTCGGAGTTTTTTCGAGTTGTCGCCAGGCGGCCGAGGTGGTGAGCGCCAACAGCGAGGCGAGAACTTCTCGAAGTTCGAAAAACGCGAGCCGGGATCGGGCCAGATGAGCATCCGCGAAGTCGGTGGTTGTGATGTTTAATTCTTCAAATCGCCGGGGAAGAGTTCGCCATGAGCGCCGGGAAGTTGATCCAGCTCCGAAGCATCCCATGGGCCATCCCATCGCGGCGGGCTGGGCAAATTGGGACCGATTTCTAGGGGAAGTTGACCGATTCTAGTCCGGTCCAGGGTAGATTTGACCGGTTTCATGGGCAGATTATGCAGGTTTCTAGAAAGACGGTGTCTAGTGGGGATTGGACAAGCTTTTCCGGGGAATTTGACCAGTTCTGGGGGGATTTAACCAGTTTTTAGGGGGAGTTGACAGGATTGACAGGTCTTTGCAAAATTTGACAGGTTTTTGAGGGGCATTTGACCGGAAAACAGCTGCCGAAGCGCCGCAGCATGTCGCTTGAGAACTTTCCGGAGGCCACGCTTCGAGTGAGAGGATGGTCTATCACGTGAAGATGATTTCCTTCGGGCAACACTTTGCATTTGGCCAAGGGATGTTAAGACTGATCATTTTTTTGCCAACTAATGAATTGATTTTCCGTATTAAATCACTAAAAGTTATTCACTTTTAGCAGGGCAGCAGAAAGCAACCGAGGAAACCTTTTTGCACGGCCATCCTGCGCATGGTAGACGAAAAGCAGCATGGCCTGTTCCTGGAACTCACTAGTCAAAAAACAATTGCAGCCATACGTGGCGCATAGCTGCGCGATATTGGCCCGCTTGCTGGTTCAGAATTCCAAGTGGCTCGCTGGAGATTGGTTTGTAGGAGGATTTGACCAGAGAACTTGCCCTGGTTTCTATGGAATTTGACCGGCTTCTAGGGAAATATCTAGGGCTGTTTTGGGGAAAGAGTCCGGTTTCTGAGACACGCTCATGGGTATCAAGGTTGGGCGTGGGTTTGAGCCGCGGGTCTTCCAAGGTTTTCCTGTCAACTTCCATGATTGTTGGAGGGAGGGGAAATACTTATTGCAAACCTTCTCGTATGATCATGACTTGAGGTTTTGTAGTGCCCCACAACCTGCGTTTGATGATCAAAGCCCTGATTGTGGCGTTGGAGTTCCTGGAGAGGATTCTGGACCCACTTTCCCAATGAAAATGTGGGGGGGAGGGACAACGCACCCATAAATTTTGCAGATAGCAGACCTAGGTTGAAACTTAGCCTTTTTCAAGCTGTTGCTCCGGGAAAGTGGCCTGATACACATGAACTGGATTCTTCAAAATCAACGGTTAAAACAGGCAGAGATTGTCATGGACATGGTCCTTGTGCCACACAGTAGCTATTTCCCGTCTGGGTATCCCCCTACAGATTCCGGAAGAAGCACAATCGGGGTTTGACCTGGCTTGACACCCCCTGCCTTTGAATTCATCTTTGCCCCGTGGCACCCTTCCTCCCAAACAAACCCAAAAAGAGCAGTGATTCAGTTCGGATCTGACGACACACACGTACCCGGTCATTTGCGCAGGTGTTGCTTCAGCAGGCCGGGACCTCAATCAAAAAGATCCGGAGGCAAGCTGACGGATTTGCGGACAACACCCTTACTCCATGATGGTTCCTTTTGATCTAAGGGGTTCGTTTTTCCCTGGTTCTCACTCCCCGAGTTCTTGGACTTTAAACTGTTTGGGAAGACCATGTTAGTTGTATATCAAAAGTTCAGGTGTTCTTGCCTCAGGAAGTCAGGTTTTGTGAAAAGTCCTCTGCCCAGATAAATGCTCCATTGGGATCGCGTCAGTTTGGCTCGCATAAGGCGGCTCCATATTTCGACCACCCCATAAACCACTTGGGGTATTTGCTTGTTTTGAACTAGGGAGTACCCTATGTGTGCAAACACCCATGCCTAAAATGGCCGTTGACTTCTGGGTGGTGCTTGAAGTTCCATCAAGTGCAGTTGCACCCTCCAAAATGACTTGAACACATGTGATGAAAACAAGCAGCTATGGAGACAACCCCCCGGAGGGTAACAGGCCCAAAGATGATCCAATGCGAATCCCCGGCTGAATTCGATCTGTCAGCATAGAGACTGATTGGAGAAAGAAACCCATGACTCAAGGGAGCCGACTACGTGCTCAACCTTGCGCGTCGGGCGTATGATGCTTTCCTTGTTTGCTTTGAAGGAACTCAGTCAGAGGGATGTGATTTCCCAGTGGCTCCTACCCTCCTATCGACAAACATGTATCCCACCAGAGGGTCCCGTTTAGAAAAGAAGCATGATCCAGAACCGCCCAGTCAGGGGCTTCATGTTATGGGGAGGGTGCTCCTTTAAAACCCTCCCAGTCAGGTTTGCAAGCTGTAGCGCGATCCAAAGGATGTAGCATCAGTGGCTCAAACATCTTCAGAAACCGTTTGCCCCGCTCAGTAGAGACGATACCCCACGACACAGATTCTCAGAATACTAGGAACCCGTCCGAAGGGGGGGGGGGTAGTAGGCATCCGCTTGGGTAGAATTTGATCTTAGGCTTTCTGTTTTCAAGATCAGCTTTTCTAGGATCCAGCTTGTTGGGTTCAGAGGGACTACTGTAATTTCCCGGTTTTCTAGGAACACTGTTGTTTGGTTGTTGGTTTCAAAGATTGTCTAAGAGCCATTCTCTAGGAACAAGTTTGTTTGGTTCCGTAGTTTTCAGTTGTGGTTTACGCTTCTCTAGGAACCAACGTTTTTGTTTACTTCATGGCTCCCAGCCATCCGGTTCCTTGGCTTTTTAGACCCTTTTTAGCGGATTTAGTGGCAGTTTCAACGAATTTCACCCACCAAAAGCTCGTCACTTTGAGCCGCGAGGCCAAGCTTTGGCTGAACTCCAGCGGCGCGGATCTCGTTTTTTTTTTCTCGAGCGCTCGGAAGCTGCAAGAGCTGAAAGAGGGGCAAGGTCTAGAGATTTCCAGCTTCCCAATTTGACCTTGGCCTAAAGGTGCTTTTTTAAATACTACCTGGTGTCGTAATCAGCCCTTTTTGGTCGTTTTGGTGCGCCTCTATGTGTCCTTTCGTCCTGGCTTTGGGGCATGTTTTGGCCTGCCTTCATGTTTCTGTTTCCTTCAACCAGCAAATTGAACGTGGCGTGGCAGTGTCTTTTTTCGAGGCTCGGTGCCTTTTTTGGACAGATTCAGCCCAAGTTGACATTGGCCACCTAAAGGTGGTTGTAATTACTACCTGGTGTCATAATCGCTATAGACAAGGCAGAACCAAAAGCCAAGTTGCTCTGGGTTTGTCTAGGAAACCAGGTTTGCTTTGTCATCATGTCCTTGATTTGGTGACTTTGCAATGGGCGACCCTGGTTGGAAAAGGTCGACCCAGGTCACCCCGTGTTTGTCTGAAAAGGAAGCCTGAAAGGAACCCTCCAGGGCTGCGAGTCAGTTGAAAGAACTGCAAGTTCGGCAAGGACCAGCGCTGAACCAAACATCACCTTCAGAGGGCCAGTTTAAACTGGTGTCCTTTTGGTGGATTCATGTTCAAAAGGGAAGTATACGGAGCCCCTTTTCACTCGCGGGTTGTTGATGGTCAATCATAAGCGCCTATCCTGCGCCTGCTCTCCCTGTAGAGTTTTGCTTAGCATTGGCATTGCTGGATTCTCCTGTGAAGCATCAGGCAGGCGAGGATTGCCTCAAAAGGTGCCCCCTTTTCTTTCTGGTGCTCAGTAGTGAATGAGGGAATGATCCCTATAAACCATCCCTTGTGGTTTTCTTTAGGGGGATTTCCAAGGGACAATTTACCCACTTACCAACGGGCAAACGATCAGAATGGAGGTGTTCAATTACCAGCCAGAAAGGTATGCAACCGTTGTAAGAGCTCCTGGCAAGTGAACCATGACCATAGTCCACACAAGGAGCTCTGACCGTGGCACATATGGGTGTGTGTGTGTGTGGGTGTTTTTCACGCCACCTTTTTCGGGAGCTGTTTTTGAAGGCAACCCAAAGGAATCCGCCCATAGAACAGTTCACTGCCTGTGAGACTGCGAGGCTTTGCCGCGGCGCAGTGAATGCAATGAGAAAATGGGCCTGCCTGCCTGCCCGCCGACCTCAAGACTCAGCTAGGTCCCCCAGTAGTGCCCCTTCTCCCCCTTTTTTGGTTGGGAGGGTTCCCCTACTATAATAGACTACCGAGAAGAAAAAAAGGCTACCCTTATTCTAACCTCTCGACTGGAGAACCTAGCGACTCCAGATCCTCCGTGCGAAGATTTTCAGCACTCAACAAACTCAATGACAGAGAGTGCTATTTCTTG